CACTCTGTCGCCCAGACTGGAGTGCAGTGGCCGCTCCTGGCCACCGCAGCCTCGACCTGCTGGGCTCCGGCAATCCTTCCGCTTCAGCCTTCCAAGGAGCTAGAACTACAGGCGCGCGCTACCACGCCCAGCTCATTTTGATTTATTGTAGAGATGAGGTCTCGCCAAGTTGCACAGGCAGGTCTCAAACCTGCGGGCTCAGGCAATCCACTCATCTCAGCCTCCCAAAGGCACGGAATTACAGGCTGAGCCACCGAGCCCGTCTGGATTTTTCATTAGAAAAACATTTTTACTATAAAAATTTTGGGGAAAGTACTAAAAAGTAAAAGACAAAGGGGAAAAAAACCAACACTAGCACTGCCATTGAGAGAGTAAGATTTAAAATTTTAGTACACTTTTTTTGCCTAATGGAAAACATTGTTTGTGTTAAAAAGAAAAAAAAAAAATCCAAAACCCAACTCCTCATTTGAGGGCTGTTTGCAGGGAAGAGTCTTTACTGGTGGATGAAAGCATCTACGAAAGTGTCCAGCCCCCTTAAGGAGATATGGTAAGAGAACCAGGTATGAAGTTCATTATTAAGAGAAGCAGGTATGTCTCTTCCTCTCCTCCTGAGTCTCTGGTATCCTTCATTAGGTCGCCCACAGAGGTGCCAGTGGTGATACTATCTCTACAGAACAAATTCAGACAAGACACATAAAGGTCTAAGCATCCGTTTTCCGTCACCACCTGCCCCCAGAGCAGATGAATAGCGATTTGAGAAAGGTTTCACAACTCACCCAAGTGAGGCAGGTCATAGAAGGCTCTCGAAGGTACAAGGAAACCAGCACTGCCCAGAAAGAGAGGGAAGGGAGAAAGGTGTGCGGCAGTCTCCACCCAGCACCGAGTGTCTGGGTCATGAGGTGGTCATTACTGTGGAGTAATTCAAAATGTGGACAGAAATGACCTCAGTCCCCAGCAGCCCATGTACAGAGGCCAGCTGCTGATCGGGGCACAAATACAGCTGTCTGGGCTCCCCACCGCTACCCAGCATGGTGAAGGGTGAGCAGCAAATAGCTCTCCCATTATTCAGGATGTTTACAGACTGACACTTGCTGAGATGACATCAGGACGTGAGCGAGTCATCGGTTTTTTTTTAAACATCTTATCTCAACACTTGCACAGGCAGCACACAGACCCACAACAGGGTTCATTCATTCAAAACACATTTCCTGAATGGCTGTGACACAACTGGACAGACGGTCCCTGAGCCTCCCCATGGTTCAGTCACAGTGCTCAGGGCTGTGGGTCCCACATGGCACGGAAGGGGACTCCTGTCCCAAGGGGCCCGCTGTCCAGTGAGGGAGATGGATGGTTAAGGTGGAGGGTGACTGCAGAACAAAGGGAGGGCGACTTCTCCAGATGGAAACAGGCATAGAAGGACTGACAACCAAATGCCGTATACAGCCTGCATCCTGATTAACTCAGACCAACCAACTGTAAAGGTCATTTCAGACACAACCGAGGATATCTGAATGTGGCTAGGGGATGTCAAAGAATGACTGTTAATTCCGCTACATGCAGTAATGGAAGTGTAGTTGTGCCACAGAGCATCCTTTTCAAAAGAGATGCATACCGGATTCAATAGAGGGAAAATGATATGACATTAGAGGTTTACTTTAGAATATTTCAAAAAGAAAAAACAGAGGGAAAGGAAAGAGATGGAGAGAGATATGAAGCCAGTATGATCTTGATAACTGTGGAAGCTGGGTAATCCATACATGGGCTCATCACACTATGGTGTTTCTGTGCTTGAAAATGTTCACAAGATTTTGTGATAGAGGCTGCAACACATTGAGGTAGATGCCCCAATGGAGGCTGCTGTAAAAGGCTAAGGGAATACAGAGCAAAGAGCACAGAAGATTTGTGAGAACCAGAAAATAAATCTGCCAAGTGTATGAGTGTTGTAAATGCCATTTCATGGTGGGATGAGAAGACGTGCTCACAAATAATGACAATATAGGATGGGGAATAGCAAATACTGTGCCCCCTGTCCCATCCAAGGAAGATGCATTGCAAATCCCCAGTGGATGCCTGGTACCTCAGATAGTACCGAACCCTATATATACGGTGTGTTTGCCTGCACACACAGAAACTATGTTTAATTTATAAATTAGGCACAGTAAGAGATTACACCACTAATAATAAAATAGAACTACAATATACTATAATAAAAGTTATGTGAAAGCAGTCTGTCTCTTTCTCTCTCTCACCCTCTCTTCCTCTCTTAAAACCTTGTAATACTTTCGGGCCACAGTTGACTGTAACTGAAACCTTGGAAGGTGAAACCACACATAAGGGGGACTGCTGTGCCACAGAGGAGCTGTGCCTGCCAAGCCCCAGGGTTGTCCTGCTTTTCAAGGCACTTACTTCCCAACACATAGACCTCACTCATACAGACTGAGGCAGGACCCCAGCTTGGTCACTCACTGGCTGTATGATGGGAGAAAGTTGTAAACTTTTTGAGTCTCCATTTCCACCTACTTATCTGGGGGCTAAGGTGAGGATCTAATGATATAAAGAATGAAAAATCTCAGCTGAATACGGTGGCTCATGCCTGTATTCCCAGCAATTCAGGGGGCTGAGGTGGGAGGATCACATGAAGCTAGGAGTTCAAGATCAGCCTGGGCAACATAGCAAGACCCTGTCTCTCTATATATTTTTTAAAATAAATAAAAAGTAAGAGAATGAAAAATTTCAGCAGGTGAACAGTATTCTCTTCCCTGGCTCTTTAAAGAACAGAGACCATTAGCCCTCAGAGAGCTTCTAAAATTAGCTATGTTTCAGATCAATTCTTCCTGTACCCATACCACACTGCCTCCTGCCAGAGCCAAGGCTCTCCACCAAGAAGGTCTCTACTCTTCAGCAGTGGGGAGTGAAGGGGGCAGACCCATGGCTGAGATGGGGAGGGGGGTTGTGGACATGGGTGGAGAGAATAGAGACATACCCCAATCACAGGCAGAGAAGGAAGCTGAGATTATCTGGCCGTTTGCACCTCTCAGGAATGGACCTCAGGCAGGCACCACCACAATCAGTCATGGTCCTTAAACTGATTTATACTAAAGTGTAATTGTTTGGCATCAGGTTAATCATGATTTTCTTTTGGAGGAAGAGTTGAACAGAAAGCCAGAGTCCTGGGCCTGAAGGAAGGGGGCAGGGATACAGAGAAATCATATTTTTTATAAAGGTATGTTCAAACTGTGGATTTCAATTATCCCACAACTATAATTGCTAACTCTGCCCCCTCCAAAACAACAACAATAACAAACTCTCACAGAACTAGAAACAGCCCTCAGCTAACACAATCCCCCTAGACTATTCCAGAAGCCAACTCTCAGAGGTAAGACCAAGTCAATGGCAAAAGCGCCTCCCCCAATGACACCCAAGCACCAGCAGTCAATCCCTTCCCATCACAGTATAGCCAACACTACCCAGCACCCTAGGCAAGGGGATCCGAGGTTGAACAAACTGGGCTAACTTGGGTCAATTCAACTGTTTTGCCAAAGAAGCATCCCCTGAAATCCTGTGAATAGAATCTTTCAGGGACCAGGTGGCTCCAGTCAGCACACAGTGGAGCTGTGATCCTGGGCACAGCACACCACTGGGAACATCAGAAAAATCACTGGACTTAGCACCATGACAGAGCCAGGACCTGGCTCAGACACTTCTTGTGTGACCTTGGGCACTTATCTTACCTGAGCCTCTTTTTCCATCTCTCAAATGAAGAGAGCAAAATTCTTGAGTTTCTGGAGAGTAACCATGAAACCAGCTGCAAAAATGCCACTGGACAAGACTTGTTGCCCAAAAGGCACTTAACAAATCTGTCTTCTCTCTGCCTGAAAGCGAGTTCTTAACTGCAGTTGGGGTCTCCAGTACACCGGGAGGGGCTGCCCTGCAGACTGAGGCCCACTTCTGGGTCCTCTGTCCCCCAGGGAGAGGGCACAGAAAGGGCACAGGTGCCAGGGAACCCAGGCATGCAAAGTCGAAGAGCCAGCTCGCTGCTGGCTTTCTTCCCACGGGATCTGCCCACAAGGGGGCTGGTTAGTGACCATCCTTCACCAAAATCAGCGGAGACTGTCGTGAGCCGGCAGACTGACAAGGAGAGGGCCGCTGCAGGCCTCGCAGGGCCCCTAGGCGCTTCCAAATAAAAGCCCTTTCCGCTTTAAGAACCCAAGCCCCAGAATAAACAATGTGGAGGGAAACACACGTTTACTCTGGTTTCAACACCGCGCTTCCCCAGCCAGCAAAGGTCGATCCCAGCTCTGCTGGTGAGGTTAGCGTGAATAAAATTAACCCCACCTACTCCGGCCCGGTTGCGGGGAAGACTCCTCTCACCCCAGAACCAGCCAGGAGACTGCAGGGCGGATGCCGAGGACGCCCCGGCGGGGGTTCTCCTGGGCCCGGGGAGCGCGCGACGCAGAAGGGCCACCGCCACGGACCCAGTCACTGACCCTGTCCAGCCCGCAGTCGGCCTGCTACTGACATTTGGCTCAACTTAACTTCCTGTTACTAAGGAGGGAGGGGGAAAGGGCGACCCGTGAAGAACCGGGCAAGGACGTGGAAGGCGCAGAGCCCAACGCCTGAGGAGCAAAGTTTGAGGATGGTCTCTACCCGGTGACAGGCGGCACCGCGTCCCTCCCACTTCGTGTTGACGTTTGGGATTTTCTAGGCGTAGAATGGCAGGGTCTGGGTGTTGAGGGGCGGAGTAAGAGGTAGTTCGGCTGCCGGTGGGAGGCTTTCTTTGCGATCTAATTGGTTCCGACACCGGCCGGGGCCTCCTCGGCTCCCCCGGCAGCGCCACCTGCTCCCTGCGCGCCCCGCGGGTGGGTTTGCGGCGAGGGATGCTGCGGCCGCACCTGCCTCTCCCGCGCGCACCGCAGGGCTCAGAGTCCAGTCGGGGCCGGCACTGCCCCCGCTCCCCCGCGCCCTCCCTCCCCCAGGAGCGCGCGCCGCCCCCGCCTTACCGAAAGCCGCGCGGGCCGCGGGGCCCGGGTCCGCGCCTGCCTCTGCCCCGGCCGCGGGCTGAGCGGTGGGGCCCCGCCGGCCGCCTGCGGAGCTGGGACCAGCGAGACTGCCCCGCGCAGGCTTAGCCGGCCGAGCGCCTGCGGGTCTGCGCGGCGCGGCCGGCCGG